CGTTATGCCCTCTTATTCTCCACACCCTGAGGATATGGGACTTTGTTCGGTACTTTAGCAACCTGATGTCTCCTTTTCTGCCTCTTCTACTGGTCACTAATAAGCCCCTTTTCCCACCAGGGTTTGACCATCCTTGCTCTGTCTCCTGGTGGACCTCAAATGGTTTTACAAGGGTGCTTCATTTTTTAATGGCATGCTCATTTCTGTCATGGGAGGATCTCCAGGAGACACATGAGGCCCTGCAGTGTTAGCACTTTCATTACCTGCAACTGCAGCATTGCATATCCCTCCATCACGCTGTTACCTACCCTTACTGTAAGACATCTTTTGAGCATACTTGTTTGCATTCCTCGGGGTCCCCTGGCCTTATATCGAAACTTTACACCTCTCTTAATGGTAGGTCATCTATGTCAGCCCTCTCATGTGGTGCACTGGGCATCTTGGATCTAGTGTTGAAGGAGAGGACTGGAGCAAGGCCTGGGCGTTGATAGCAGAATGTTCATTTAACATCTCTACCCTCAAGGCCACCAGCTAGGATTGCACATGTTTACCCAGGCAGCAGTGACAGATGCTTTAGGAACTGTGGCCAGCATGGGGATGTTCTGCACATATGGTGGTCATTCCCACAATTGATCAGCTTCTGGTCCCAAGTTTTTGGCCTACTCTGGACCTTATTTCATGTAATGGTCCATAAAGATGCACGGCTGACTTTATTACATAATTTTTGCACCCCAACAGAAATTGGCCTCATACGTTTTCATTTCTGCTAAACGAACCATTGCCTGGGCCTGAAAGACTCATCTGTTGCCTTTCAGGGTATTAAAGCCAGGATGACTGTTCTGGTTAATGAGCAGATGTCCAGCATTTTGAAGGACTTACATGGGAAGTTCCTGAAAGTTTGAGAACCCTAGATAAGTTATTCCTTCCTGTTCTTGCCTCCTACTAGTTTTGGTCACTCATAAACATTGCCTGTGTGGATCCATGTCCGCAGTTCTCTCCCACTCCTCCCCTACCCTTCCTCTTCTTTTTCCCTCCCTCTTTGTTCCCCTCTTCCCTCCCATCCTCCCCTCCCATTTTTTCAGCTTTTTTCCTTTCTTTCTCTTCTAATATGTAGTTTAATGGAAGGGATTGTTATCCCCTGGGGGACAGTGCACTATTGCCTGTGACATCTATCCATCTCTTATGACTCCCTTCAGTTATGGTAAAATTGTTATACTATCCACTTTGCATACATGCGCAAACTTCCTTCTGTGAATGTATACTGTTGCCCCTGCATGGACGCAATGCAGCTTGTTATGTACTTTCAAACTTAAATAAGTATATTGAAACAGAAAGGCAAAACATTTGTGTATACATATGCAGTAGAAACATTTTAAATACAGTTGTTTCCCTTTTTTATAAAGTATCACATTCCCTCTGTTCTAAGCTGCATAAGAACTGGGGGAGGAGAAACAGTAGCAAACTGAACCTCCCAGTGAAAGGCTGTGCAAGGGGAGGAGTATCAAGACAAGTCTGATCATTGAATGAATACAGACTGCATTACCAGCATAGCTAGAGAACTGACCACGGAGTGTGTACTCCTGCTTAGTGTGGTTGGTTTTTAACAGGAAAGCAGAGGGCCTGGCAGGAACACCAGGGATTTAACATAAATGAAGCAATACAAAGAGAACAGGATACTTTTTCATAGAAGCACATGTTACAGTAGGCACATGTGAGAAATTTTAAATGCTGGGTTTACATGTTCTTTAAAGCTCCGTTGAAGTCCTACACCTTTTTTCTTTTTATAGTCCCATACCACCGTACATTATCATTTTTAATTGTTAATTTGTTTCTTTTTGTGAAAATGCCCTTTTTTGCTCTCCAACTGCAATGCCCTGTGTCAACATAGCTGAGTAATGGTCACTCCCCTCATCACAGGCGTCCTCACATATACTTCTACTTCAAAGAAAGACTGGATCATTTAGTGTGCATAGCATGGACAAACCCTGGGGCCTATTAGACTCTGCAGTCATATTTAGATAACTTGTGCAACTGATAGAACTGGAAAATAGAGGTGAAACTATGTTGAACTAAATGTTTTGTTCCTGTGACATCAAATGATCTTTTATACAATTAGTAAATATCAAATGTTTTGCTTTACCCTAGGTAGAGCCCAAAAAGTTCCTTGTTGAAAATATGCCTTAATCATAGTTGCCACAAGTTATTCTTTTAAAATGAATAAAAGACTAGAGAAAAATGTGTCCCTGGGTAAAATAGCAATAGGTTTAGTAATCTCAAACTGTAGCACAGAAAGAAAGGGAAAGTTGTTGTCTGAAACAAATTAAAGTGGAACTAAACTATCTTAATCAACAATAACTATTTTAATCCCTATGCTGCTAACATTAGTAAATAGATAGGAGGGTTTAATATATTTACTTGTTTTAAACCTTTTTTTTATACATGTCTTCAGTTGCGTTATGGTTTTTGGCTTGGGCCAAAATGATATCATACACCCCAGGAGTCTTCAATGGCATTTTTCTTCTTTTATCCGAAGGGGGGAAGTTCTCAGCCAAACAATCCTGCATGCCAGAGCCAAAAGCAGAGCGATTCCAGGAAGAAAATGCTACATGAATTATCTGCCGATACTCAAGATGGTTGTGACTATAAAACTTAGGGTGATATTTTTCAAAGGGATTTCTCACCAAAAAGCATGAAGACTTGCATAGATGGGTGAGTTTGCTTTGAATATCAAAAATGAATGAAATAGCGTTTTCATTTTCTGGTGCTCAGATATAGTTAAAGTGGTTTTAAAGGCAGAAGGGTTTTTACCTTAATGCATTCTATGCATTAAGGTAAAAAACCTATTGGGTGCAGCTCCCCCCAGCCCCTCCTCATACTTACCTGAGCCCTATCTCAATCCAGCAATGTGAATGACAGCTGTGGTTCTCCAGGGTCTCTCTCTCCTCATTGGCTCACACAGCATTGAGCAGCCCTGCTCAAGTGCCCCCATAGAAAGAGGCTTGCTGTTGGGGGCACTCGGCAGGGAGGAGATGCCTGGACCACCGACGGGGGACCCTAAAAGAAGGGGATAGGGGCAGCTCTGTGCAAAACCATTACACAGAGCAGGAAAGCATAACATGTTTGTTATTTATTTATTTTTAATTACAACCTTTAGAATCACTTTAGCTCCAGCTTTAGTAAAATCTCATAGAGACATAACAGCTCTGCCATTTATGTTTTTTTAGCATAGTACATGTCATAACATTGTGTGATTAAAAGAACAAAAATGCAACAACAAAACCACAATACCCAAGGAACTCACATCGACAGATACCAGTAAGCTGAACAGAATATCGGTTGCAAGGATAAAATAATCTTCCCCCCCAAATTACAACATTATCTTAAATATCTTTATTTCCTGAAAAATTCACAAAAGCATTTATAAATGTTTTCAGTAGTTTATTTATATATATATATATATATATATATATATATATATATGTTAAGTAAAAGTTTACCCATTTTTAGATTTATAAGCCTAATAATGTGCCTTTTTTTGTCAGTGTCTCAGTGTGCCTATTTCTGATTTGTTTTGGCACATCCATGTGAGTTTTCATTACAATATATTATGCCCCAATTCACTGTTGTATTTCCGTTTTCATTCCTCTTTTTTCCCACTTCACCAAGTTAACTTTTAGCCTCCCAAATTAATTCAAGCGTTTAGTGCTCGTGGTTTGCCTTTTCTTTCTTAGATTTCATTTCCTCCCTCCTCATACATGATCAGAAAATGCTCAGGGAGCAGAAAGCACATTGATTTCTGCTTGTTCTGTCCACAGACAGGCCCTGACAAGGTTGTTAGAACAGTTGGAGAGGTCTCTACAATCACTTAATTACCAAAGCTGTCAGTCAGCAGGGACACGGCAGGCTCCAGCCATGGCTGCAAGGAGCATTCCACTACTGGGCTTCTCCTTGATTGATCTGTGCTGATGGCATTGCAAAATAATTATAGTGAATTTTCTGATGTGTGATTTTATACCAAGTTCATGCTTCAGAAAGGTAATCGTAAGGATGAGAAGGGTCAATGCCATTTCTTATTACCTGAAGTCCTGGGGAAAGGGTAACATCTAGAGGAGGCTGCAAGGAAAAGGGACGGAGGAAGGAGAAGAGAGAGAGGGAGAGAGAGATTAAGGATTGCTGAAGGGTACTGCAAGCAATTCGTCAACTGTGCAAGTGATTTCCTTCCGAGCCAACAAATGGCAGATTGATTTTGTCCAACGCGGCTTTAGTCACATTTACAATGATCCAGTGGTTATTAGTGCGATTGGTTTAGGAAGTGACAGGCAGTTGTAGGCTAAAGGAGGGGAGATCCTGTTTACAGCAGACGTAGTTTTAACTGCTGTCAGATACACTTAAGGAGACAGCGAGGGGAGCAGCCCTGTTAGATAAATGGCAATTGAATAAATATGTTTTCCTTTCATTTCTGACTGACTTCACTTTTTATCCACTTCTTGCAATCAGAACAGACTGAACACATTGCATTAATTTGCCCAGTGTGTACAAACACACAAACTCACACACTGCGTATGAATTCGGTGCACCAGTGTACACAAATGATGCTGAATGACACTGATAAATAATTAGGGAAGAATACAAAACCCTAGTTTATTTATAAGGATTTCATAAGCTTCTAAATAAAATATTAATAATTACCTGTTTATTTAAATTATTTTTATTTTTGTGTGTTCATGGTAACTTGGAAGAGCATTAAAAATATACCTGTACAGTAGGGGCATGGCTTTGATACATAGGGCTAAACAACGTACAGTCCTACCACCTAGTCGCAGTTATCTTTTTGTAATCCTTCGGTACTGAGTGCAGTAATGGTGTTACTTTAGCACCAGACTGGTAAAAAAAAACAAGTGGAAACCAGGGCGGAGTGACAAATCATGGTGCCCCCGGGCAAAAGGGGATCATGGGGCCCCTGTGTCCTTGCCCAAACTCAAAAAAAGCCTATGAAAAAGGTACCAGGGGCATCTCATGGGGCCCCCTATTGACCCCGGGTCCTCGGGCAGTGCCGAGTTTCCAAATGGTCAGTCCGCCCCTGGTGGAAACAGATACAAAACCTCCTGTGCTCAGAGACCCAGATCAGAATTCAGCGGGTAGAACCATATATGAAAGGTTATCCAATAGCCTATCAAAGTTGTTGTGCAGTTCTAACACAAGGCTGGTGAAGCCCAATAACAGCTGTAATGAAGAACAAAAACAAAAGCACACCAACCTTGCGCATTACCTCAGTAAGTAAAAAGGGTGAATTTATTGAATTGAGATATATATGTCACAAAAGTAGCAATAATAAAAGCATATAAAATCCAACATCAGCGCACTGGAATAGCAGACACGAGCGAGTCCCATCGAAAGGGGAGACACTGAGGATGAACTGATGCATTTCGAAGGGGGATCTGAGGAAGAAGCGATATCCCTTCGAAACGCGTCAGCTTCATCATGCCATACCAGACTCTTGGGGGACAATGAAGATACACAGATATATGGATGTTCCACAGACAATGAGTGTTTGTGGCCATGTAGCCACAGTGATAACAGATTGAGAGCAGTGCCTGTGTCTGTGCAGCCTCTGCATCCCAAATTACATCAATTGGAACTGTATGCATGGAAATGCAAGGAATACCTGCGCATCCATGTGTGGGTAAACACGGCCCTTCACATATGCTTTAGGAGGGAGCGAGGCCTAAGGGGAAATCTGATGGACAAGAACAAGAAAAAAGAGCATAGGTTCCCCCCCCAAATCCATACCAGAGCCTTCTTTGAGAATGCAGCCTGGCAGGCCAGGAAGGAGGGAGGAAACTAGTGTGCATCCCCTCTCCTGAACAATACCAGGCCACATGTCCTCAACACAGGACCCCTCTGGCAAAGGCTTGTTTCCATGGGTTTGTGGAAGCTTGGCTTTTTGGATTTGGAAGCCCACTTTAAAAATAAGTGAGCCCCCAGATAACAGTTCTCCCCCTCCGTGAATTAGTAAGAGTACCCCTCTTCATAATACTCCTATTCATCCACAAAAATATGTGGATGAATAAACGAACACACACTTTTTTATAAATTCTTTATTAAAAAATAAAAAATAAACAATGTAAATCCACAATCTGTCACGTTGTCCAGTGTGCAGCTATTTGTCAATCACAATAAATGACACCCTCTGTCCATCCCTGGTTCAAAAAAGTGCCAGGGCACAGTTCTGATTCACCCAGGCTAAACAGTAATGGTTACTTATACTTTACTCTACCAAGTGATAAGTAAAGCAAGAGTTTACAAGATAGAGAGTTTCCCAGATACAAGAGTTTATCAGGTTTGAGCTGATTTAAGTCAAGTGAATAATTGCATAACAAACTGATAAAGGGATCCACTGAACTTCAGGTCAGAAAGTAAGGTAGAACCTATGAAGATCCCTAATTTCTCAGCTTAATTATGTCACAGCAGACAAGGAATCTCACCCTATATTTAGTACAACTCAGTAAGGGAGGGTCCCTTTTGGATCTGGCTCACTTGGTGCCCAGAATGGTGGTAGATTTTACTCTGCGTGATTAAGTAAAATGTAGCCCTTCATTAGTTCACTACCCATGCCAGGTAGATTGTAGAGTGAATCTGACGATTTATCAGAATACATTTTTTTTGAAATTTACTCATCACTGTAAATGCAGTATTATTGTGTCTACCATTTTGAAGCGCAGGTTCAAAATATGCTGTACAGGCTACAGTGAACTGTACTTTATTTATATACAACAGCAGGTTTTTTTGTCTTCATAAAGGGCAACACCAGCAAAGCATGTTATAAAAAGTTTGCACATCAAATGTTGCACAATTTGGGGGACTTCAGCTTATTCAATTAAGGTTTGACAGAAGCAGATTCTGTGTGCATCGGTTTAATAAATCCCCCTCTTTGACTCAATACACAAGGATAAATCTTTATTTTCAATCATGCAATTGTAATTTTTGAATCTCACTGGACACTGAAAATAACTGTCACTGTTTTTGGAAAAAAATGAATACTTATTTTTGGAGCCCAACAGGTGATAAGCAGTTCATAGATGATGGACATGCAAGTCATATATATATATTTGCATTGCACTTGGTGATATAAGACTTGGATGCAGCTGTTCAGCCATGGAAACCTATTCCATAAAGCTCTCTATACACTGTTGTTGTGCTAATCTGAAGGTCACATGAAGTTTGGAGGTCTTTAGCTATTGACTCCGCAGACAGTTGTCGACTGCTGCACACTGTGTGCATCAACATGCACTGACCCCGCTCTGTCATTTTATGTGGCCTTCCACTTCGTGGCTGAGTTGCTGTTGCTCCCAGTTGCTTCCAGTTTGTTATAATACCACTAACAGTTGATAGTGGAATATTTAGTAGCAAGGAAATATGTATGTATATATATATATATATATATATTCATCATATATATATATATATATATATATATATATATACTGTATATATATACAGTGCTCAGCCTAAATGAGTACACCCCAACAGATTTGTCAGAAAACCTTTGGTTTCCTTTCAGAATCAACATTTTCCATTGAACACTATAATACAAAATATTCCCACAAATGAGGGCCATTGATTGCAAACAAGATTTGTTTATTTGTACACACAAAAAAATTATTTTGCCTGACAAATTAATTCAAGACAATGTTGCAAAAATGAATACACCCCAATGAAAGTCTTAGGAGCAAAGCTAAATATTAGACAACAAAATGCTAATTCACAAGAATTGAACTACAGGTGAGTCAAATTATTCATTAAACTGGTGTCCAGCAGACAGTTGATCATAAAAGGATGTTACTTACCAAGGAAAACCCCTTACCATTTAATGCTGTCAGCAATGGCACCACATAGAAGAGAAATGTCACAAGGCTTGAGAAAGAATACTGTAGCAAAAGTGATACAGAAATGTAACAAAGATGGAACTGCAACTAACTCACAGAGACGTCCAGACTGTCCACGGAAGTTAACACCTTGACAGGAATGTCTTCTGATGAGAAGTGTTGAAGAAAATCGAAGTAGAAAGCCAAAGTGGGGCGATTGTTTACCGTTATACAATATGGCATACACTGCAGCAGAGTGGCATGCATGGGTGTCAACCACTAAGGAAGCCTCTCCTACAGCCCATGCATAAAAAAGCGGCCTAAAATTTGCCAGGGCTTTGGAACTAATGGCTTTAAAACTGTATGGTGTCGTAAAGGTGAGGAGTACAAAGAAAAATGCATGGTGCCTACAGTGAGACATAGTGGTGGCAATGGCCTTCTTTGGGGTTGCATGAGTGCTGCTGGTGTCCGGAGAACTGCATTTCATTGATGGTATCATGAATTCACAGATGTACTGCTCTATATTGAAAGAGAAGATGCTACCATCACTCCGTGCCCTTGGTTGTCATGCACTTTTCCAACATGACAATGATCCAAAACACACATCTAAGGCCACTGTTGCATTTCTGAAGAACAACAGGGTGAAAGTGATTCAGTGACCAAGTATGTCACCTGATCTGAACCCAATAAAACACCTATGGGGAATTCTCCATCCAACATTCAGGCTGTAAAAGAGGTTGTTCCACTTTATTCCATACATTTTGTCTACTACATTCAAGAGGAGTGGTTCAACATTTGCCAATAAAAAGTATAAAGTAGTGTGTGTGTATTACAAGATACTGGTCATAATCTGGCTCAAACTCAAGATTTTGTGTTTAAAAAAAAAACAAATCTAGCTGAGGAAGAGCAGTCAAAGGGGGATCACACAAGCCTACAAATACTTTCAGCAGAACAAGTCTTTTTTCAAAACTGGATGAATATCAGCTAGGGTCTGCATCAAGTTATATAAGTGCATGCAGGTTGGTAGGTTGCCTCTGTTCCTGTGAATATTTAAACAATGCTGACAAAGCTGTATGTTTATCAAATATACAGGCTTATTCAATAAAGCAGTTCACAGAGTAATGCTAAAATAAAGCTATGGTCAAGGAAAGAAAATTATATGTACAATGCAATTTGCCAACAATAATAACACAAATGTATTATCATAATTCCCCTTGTAACATTGTTTTCTTTTGTTAATCCTGCCATTAGGCTCATTGATATTCCTTAACTGCTTCCAGTCCAACCCATGTATATAAAGGATGGGAGCTTTGTCGATGCAGGTGGGCATACCTGTATGTCCTCCGCAATCTGAGGCTTCTAGAGTGGGCACCTGCAAGCTATATGATTGCTGTGTTGCCCAGACACAGTGAATTACATGATTGTGTACAGGAGCAATGAAATTGTTTTTCACAGACAAAACACAGTGAAGAGAGATTACAATGCCCCTGATTGCTGCTCAACAGCGTGTAGTGTGAATAAACGTCAGCCAGCCACCTGTCACCTGTCCCAGTGTTACAAGCGCTGCCAGGAACAGCACTATTGACACTGCACCTATTCGCTACCAACACGGTCAGTGTCACCAGAGCAGTGCCACCAGCCAGTATCCCTGACTTCACTGACACCAAACTGGTATATGCCAGCACCATACTAGTGCCCAGGGGTGGACTGACAACTCATGGGGCCCCCGGGAAATAGGGGATCATGGGGCCCCTGTGTCCTTGCCCAAACTCAAAAAAGCCTATGAAGAAGGTACCAGGGGCATCTTATGGGGCCCCCTACTGAAACAGGCAGTGCCCGAGTTTCCAAATGGTCAGTCCGCCCCTGCTAGTGCCAGTGTCAACAGAGCTAGTGTCCCTTATTGCAGTGATGCCAAACCTCTGTACACCAGCACCACCACACCAGTGTGAATGAGAGTATCTAACTCCTACTGTCAGATTAAGATTCTGAATATGAACCCTTGGAGAGCAGAGGTTCAATTACTGATTCAGAGGAGGAAATGGTCCCAACAAAAGAATGAGGCATTCTTAACACCAGCAGGCAACCATCATCAGCCCCGTGAAGTGGTGAGTACCAACTGTGCAGTACACCTGAATGAAAATACAAATAGTGGGGCTACCTTCAAATTCGACAGCACCTATAATCCCCCCATTTTCAGTGCAGCCAGAAATTCAGGCAGAAACTGGAAATTTTACACCTATTCAGTTTTTTTAATTTATTTTCCATATACAATGTTTTTCCATTAAAATGTGGACTGATGCAATCTTTATGCCTAGCTGTACATCAAAAGTAATTCCATTTCTGTTTATGCCTGTCCATTTGAGTGGAAGTGCTTGTCAAAGTTCAATAATTTAAAATATTTATTGGCCCTACACAAAATATGTGACTTACAAAAACATTAACTGTAGTCCCATTGGTCCACACACCCCCATTCACCATATGTCACTATATTTCTCCCTTATGTCCAGGACACACTATAAAATAATTATAGACATGGCCACTCAACAGTAGGAATGACCTGTGTGAGCCCAGTAACAACAGGCTCTGACATGCAGCTTTGCCCAGTGTGAAGCTGAATTGTTTGCCTCCCTTCAGCCTGTCAGCCTGCAAGGAGAGATATCCAAATTTCATTCTGAGTAACCACCAGACATAAAGTGCTAACGTGCAAAAGCATGAACAATCTTCTCACAATTGTGCAAATATATCAAGGTGCAAACTGGTGAGGTTAAAGTGCTAACATGCCAAAACAGTCCTTAAAATTACATATAATCAAACAAGTCCATACATCATAACTGGTGCCCCTGATGATGTGACCAATGACAAAACACATAGGGTGGAGCTAAAATGTATGCACGCATCCACGTGCACAGCCTGGCCACCATCTTCTATATGGGTATTTATACATACAGGATGTTATTTGCCATAATTAATGTGAATATATTATCTGTTTTATTAAAATGGTTTTAAAAGATTTTATACTGTTGGGAGATGTTTGCGCTTTTTTGTGCCTTTTTCCCTGCATGTCAATTGAGGGGCCAACGACAGGCGGAGATTTGTGAAAACATGTAGCTTTATGTGTCTGCCTGAGGCTGGGGAGCTGAGCTTTTCAATTAACAGTTTACCTTCCTTTAGTTGGATAACCCCTGGTGGTACCTGTATTATCCTGCAGGATTACTGGATGATATGCCTAAAATGACCACTCTGGCAAAGGGGGTCTTTGCAAAGAAGCTTGATATTCACAACGGTGTGGTGTGAAGATTTCCGCACATGAGTCCTGGAAGAAATTCCCTTTTTGTAAGCACTTTATTTATGATCTGTGATTGCTGTATAATGTTAAGGACTGTTTTGTCTGTTTAGCACATTAAGCCCACCAGTTTTCACATTGATTCATTTGCACAATGGTGGAGAGGTTGTTCATGCATTTGCACATTGGCACTATATGTAACATATGGTTTAGTTTAGTCATGAAATCACATTATTTTTATTGTTAATATGTTTGGTTAGCAATAACACCACTTTACTCAGAACTCAAGTGCAGAATTTTTTTACATTTTAGCCACCAGACATCATTGGCCATGATGTTAGCTGTACTCCAGGCACTTGGAGTCTATGAAATATTTGAATGCAACCATTGTTGATTTTAATACACTGATCATTAAAGATTCAATTGTGTAAGGTTTGCAGTTCCCTTTTTCTTTTCTTTTTTTTTTTGCTCATGTGTTTGACTACCTGCCATTTCCCTGTATCTGTATGTTTTTGTCTGCTGCCTGGACTGACAATTTGCCTGCATATTGACCATGACTCTGCCTGCAGCCTGCACTGACACTGACCTGTTTATCAATCAGATTTCTGCCTTCTGCCTGAACTGACCTTGCCTGGTAATCAACCTTGTTTTTTGCCTGCTGCCTGGACTGATCTTTTGCCTGAATTGACAGTGTGAGGCCCTGCTACTGTAGTAATGGGACTGAAGACAATGCAGGTCTCTAATGCAAAGTGAGGGACTCCAGATCATTGTTTCAGAGCAGATAAAATTAAGCATTTGGTCTTCTACAGGTTTTTTTGGGATTACAAAGTCATGGTCTTGAGTCCAGAGGTTTTGAAGAGCTTTGGGTGGGAAGAAGCCTCTGCCTGTTGCCTGAAATGAGCCTGGCCTGTTTTTGGACCATGTTCCTACTTGCTGCCTAAACCAATCCTTTGGCTATTTGCTGTCCATGTCTCTTCCTGCCACCTGTACTGATCCTGGTCTGTTTATGGACCTTGTTCCTGTCTGCTGCCTGGACCACTCCTTTGCCTATTTACGGACCACATCAATACCTAGCACCAGCATTGATCCATCTGCACATCACTTTTGGCTACATTCCTGCGAGATGCTGATCTCACCCATCCTCTGTGGAAAACTGCACTACTGGGACCACAGGTAATCTTTTGTTTACCCTTTGTTTGGCCTCCTGTACTTCTTGGCCAGTGAACATAGCATTGTACTATGGAAGCAGCCATGTACCAGTTGGTTAGGTCTGCTTGGCTTTTAGGCGCAGGGACTGCTGTAGGTAAAGCTACACTATGCTATATTCACTGACCACTGGTACAGAGCTCACCATTACAGTACATTGGTTTCTATACAGTGCTGGTTTTTGTGATACACAAGTTGCAATAATGGGTACTAAATCAGTGCAAATGTGGAATAGTTATTACATATGTTGTATCCCCATGCTTGGGAGAAGTAGCAGAATGTGTTTTGGGGTGTAATTCCAAGTATGTCCATGCTGTGTGATAGAAATATCTTATTAATTGACAACTTTTTTGCATTTTCCCTTTTCTTCCACATTATTCAAACACTTTTGGAAAAAATGCCATTTCCAAAATACTTTTATAAACTATGTTGGGGTAATTACTTTCCAAAATGGGGTCATTTTATAGGTTTCCACTGTCCTTGTGCCCCAGGGCCACCAAAAATGTGATATATACACAGGAAATTAGATGTGTAATTTATGTTTAAACCCCTTGGCGCCGGCGCCTCCTGGCCCTTTAAGGGTTTCAGAAGCCGGGAGGTGGGACGGGGCTTAGCGTCACAGCGGGCACATGATCTGGAAAGGTCTCGATCGAAAGAGGAGATTGGGACCTTTCTGTGAGTAACGGACATGTGATGGGAGTGCGCAGGGTGCGCGCTCTCAGCACATATGGTTTTTTATGACAAATCACAGCTTGAACTATCTTGCTTTGCATGTAATTAGTCTATCTCATATATTAGTTTCACCTTTTAAGTTGCATCACTGAAATAAATGAACTTTTGCACGATATTCTAATTTTTTGGGTTTTACCTGTATATTCCTAATTGACAATTTGTGTAAAAAAATACAGCTTCATTCTCTTTCCACTTTTTCCAAAAAACGTGTGGCAAAAAATGACATTTGCAAAGGCTCACTGTTAGAAAATATTTCAAAGTAATTGCTTTCCAAAATCTGCCCCTGGTACTCAAGTGTCTCCAAAACTGTGATAGATAATCAGGATGCCCCTTGAAAGCCTTAATGTGCTCATTGAATTTTGGACCTCTATGCTTGGCTAGGCTGTGAAAAAGTCTCACACATGTGGTATCACCATACTTGGGAGGAGTAGCAGAATGTATTTTGGGGTGCAATTGTAGATATATTTATGCTATGAGTGAGATTTAATTTGTTAAAGATGACTTTGTGAAAATAGAAATGTATTTACTGTAGTCATTTTCCAAAGAATTTTGGCAAAAAATACACTTCAAAAAATTCATCATGTCTCTTACAATGTAACTCAGATTGTTTAGTTTCCAAACTAGTTTCCACTAGTTTTGTGGGGTTATTTGTACTGGCTTTACATTTTAGGCTCTCAGGAAAAGAAATAGTCAGAACATAATCATTGATCAATTTTCAAATATACACAGTATATCACAGTTGTAGTAGTATACGTTTTGGCCCATTTGCAAGATGTAATAACAGAAACTAAGAAAAAAAATTTTTTTTTAATAAATGTTCGGTCTTTTTCCCTTTATATAAACAAAAATTATAAACCCAGTGGTGAAAAAGAGCACTATCTGTCTCCAAAAATTATATAAAATTCATTTGGGTACAGTGTTGCATGAGTCATTGTAATTCAAAGTGTGACAGCGCTAAAACCTGAAAAATGGCCTGGACTGGAAGGGGATGAAACAGTCCAGACTTGAAATGGTTAAGTAGGGTGACAACACTGATCAATTTGCCATAAAATCACCACAGTGTTATCACTGTGTGGATATATACTTTTAGATGTGTAAGAGATAAATTAAAGCCCACCTCTTGCTAACACTTTTTCTAGCAGTTCTATTGGAATAAAGATATAAGCCATATGAATAAAAGCTAACTGTTGTAAGCAGCCCTGGAAGTTTTACAGTTTGTTCCATCCTTTGTAATTGTCACTTTTGCTAGACAGCTTGGTCTGAATGCAGGGGCGGACTGACAACTCATGAGGCCCCCGGGCAATAGGGGATCATGGGGCCCCTGTGTCCTTGCCCAAACTCAAAAAAGCCTATGAAAAAGGTACCAGGGGCATCTCACTGGGCCCCCTACTGACCCCGAGCCCTTGGGCAGTGCCCGAGTTTCCAAATGGTCAGTCTGCCCCTGTCTGAATGTAAATGTGAAAATATATACATAAAGTATGTGAAATAAAAAAAAGAAATGCATACACTAAATACTATCATTATCAAATATTAAACATATAGTTACCATAATGCAGCATAATGCAGTGTTTTTGGATAGTGGGCCTTTGAAATGTATTGTGCAATAAATCATACTAATCTATCAAAAAACAGCTATTGCCTGGTCTGACTGAGGTTTGCTTGGTTGCTGCTGACCACTGCACCTTGTGCATTTAGATTTCACTTTAAACAGATTTAGGGTGTGTTGTTATCCTGCATTTGGTGTACAGTAATGTCAGAATGCATGTCAAACATAGGTCAGCAAAATCCCGTAGTCTTTAGCTGGGCAGAACACATGGCAGTTCAGAGGGTGCATTTGACCTGTATTTCTTTGCATACAGCATGTCCTAAGGAGGTGCATTTCAACTTCATGCAAAGCAGGTCCAACACAGTCTTTTCTTGTTAAAAGCTGCATTTGCCAATCAAACACATGTATTAATAGAAAACACAGCTTTTGACAAGAACACCTGTCAACATGAGCGATTTGTGTATTTTTAGGGAGGCTCACGCATCCCCACGTTTTAGTACTGCAACAATGGTCCATTGCTTCAGTTCTCCTAATACCAATGAAGGTTTCACCTACCAATATTAAGGCTACATTCACACCTCAGTGTTTTTTTATGTGGCGCAGTGGCAATGTTGTGCATTTTGGATATGTTTTACATCTATTACCAATTCCTATATACGTTAGCGAGAAGGCTAAAATGCAGAGACATATACTGTGTGTAACCATAGCTTAATATATTCCTGTACCAGAGTGCACATGCACTAATTATGCTCAGATGCCGGTCCACACAGCTTCCCAGGGTTCCTGGATACACCAAATGAGGATAGATTTATTTGATTTCCTCCCTCAGCAGTTCTGAAAGGCTACACCTGATGAGGCAGAGGTAGCTGAACAAGTGATCTTCAGTCAGGTTAGAGGTCCTTCACTGTCAGACCTGGTATGTAGGCACCTGGGCTGGAGTCTAAAAAACAAGCTACTGTGAGGATCCCCTCCTTAATTGCTACCAGAATACTCCAGTTCCTGTGGGGTGGCCCCCTGTGTCAAGTCTTTGATTCCTCTAGCTGTTTGCATGTGTTACCAGAGCTACCCTGGACTTCACTGAGCAAGATTCTGTTGATGAGTACGTATAATCACAGTTAGCTCTTTGTGTTCTGAGGTTTTACCAAAGTAGTGATAGTCAGATAGAGCTCTGTTGTTATAGAGTCTTAAAGATGCTCTTCTTTAACTTGACTGAGCCAAAGAGTCATTGCTGTCAAGAGTCGATATTTCTACAGCTTTCATAATCTGGTTTGTATTATTCTGCAGAGTATGCATGCTCTTTGCCATTCTGACCCTCTTTTGTATTATTGATTCTGCCTTTTCACCTGTTTTGTGAACTGCAATTTACAGTTACTCTCTGTCTAATTGTTCAGCTAATTACCTATCCTGTTACATTATTACCTAAAGCGGACCTTCACCATCTATGGGTTTTTTTTTAAGAAACAGTGCGGCCCCGCCCCTCAATGCACATCATTCGCCTAGTTCAGATGTGGCCCTTTGCTTGCTTTTTTATCCCACCCTTGGGGTACTTTTCCTTCCACTGATATTAAGAACTATTCCTTTCAGTGACACCAATGATGGGGCGCTATTCTTCCCACTGACACCATCGATGGGACGCTATTCCTCCCACTGACACCAATGATGGGGCACTATTCCTCCCACTGACACCAAGGAATGGGACGCTATTCCTCCCACTGACACCAATGATGAGGTGCTATTTCTCCCACTGACACCAACAATGGGGCGCTATTCCTCCCACTGTCCCCAATGATTGGGCGCTATTCCTCCCACTAACCTCAACAATTGGGCACTGTTCCTCCCACTGACCCCAAGGACAGGGCACTGTTCCTACCACTGACCCCAACGACAAGGCACTGTGCTTCCTATTGACCCTAGCGATGGGGGCACTGTTCCCCCCACTGACCCCAGCAATGGGGGCACTGTGCCACCCACTGACCCCAGAGACAGGGGCACTGTGCCTCCCACTGACTCCAGCGATGGGGGCACTGTGCCTCCCACTGACCACCAAGCCTAGGATACTGTTTACTCCCACTGATTCCAAGGCATTTTCGACTCCCACTGACCACAATCCAGCCCCCCTAAATTTTGAAGGGCAGTAAACTGACCCTTTGTCTCAAAAGTTTGGATGTGCACAGTTCTCGGCAGGCCTCCTGGGATATGCATGTCACATATTCCAGGAGGCCTTTAGTCATTCATTCAGAAGTAGGAGGGGGGAGGGACTAGCAGCATCTCATTGCAAGGCCCAGACCCTGCCGGCTGAACTCGGAAGAGCCAGCGGGCCTTTTGATGACTTCCCAATTAGGATGGTTGTGCAACACCCAATGGTGTCTGTTGACAGAAGGATGTCAGCAGGACAATGCTGGATCCAGATGCTAGGTGAGAATTTCAACTGTGGCTAGAACACTACCAATTAAGTGGGGGCAGAGCAAAAGAAAATGGGGGGGTATGCTGAAGGTCTTCTTTAACATTAAATACTCAGGATTTGAGATACGCAGTTATTGTTTAAAAGGAATATTGTAACATATGTTATGTATAAAAACATTTCCAATTTATCAACAAGGCACATTTTTTTAAAATAGTCATTTTTTCACAGTGCAATAATGTATAATTTAAGATGTTTTAAATGTGATATTAATAGCACTGCTTGCTTTAAAGTCCAAATCTAGGAATTATAAAAAAAACAACTCTTGCAGCGCCCTCTCAACTGCAAGGGTTAAATGCTTATGAACTCTATGGGCTGAGGAAAAAGGTATATTACTTACCTGACTCCTGTCTCCTCTGCTTCCCTCTGTTCCTCTCCATTCTGGCTTAAGCAGTCCCTTACTCTCCCAATATACATCGCAGAGCTATTGGCTTGGCTATAGTGGTTTCAGGGAAGCAGTTACACAGATGGAGGGAGCTTCAGGAGCCAGAAGTAAGGAAAGTGTTACACCTTATTCCTAATCCCCTAGATTTAACAAGCATTTAACTCTTGCAATGCAGGGTGGGGTGGGGGGTATTGCAAGGGTAGATTTTTTTTTATAGTTCCCCAAGTTAGGCTTTAATCTACAGATATACTGTAGCTTGAAAAACGGGAAATAACTGTCCTGCCAGTGCAATATGGAAATTGAAAAATATAGCACTAGAAAGACTGTGGACTAAACAAAAGAGGCTATAAACAATATATGAGGCATGCTTTCTGTTCTTCCTGCTATAGTATTTGCAAGGTTGTCTGCAAGGGAAACATCCAGAATATAAAAATAACTGGCAGCCAGCAGTTCTGATCTATCTCACTAACCTTGTTTCTTTTACCTAAAGCAAAGGGAAAACCATTCATAATTTAAAGCATCCAATTATGCAGTCAGTTAAATTTTAAGATATGAAGCATATGTTCTACTGTATGCCTGTATTTCAAAGTACAAAAAATCCTGTTCTGGAATGAAAGTTTGGGGTTGTTATCTAGACAGCAGATTCGTTTTTTTTTCACAACTGAAAGGAATTAAAAGGTGACAGTGTATTCTTTTTCTATTGCAACCTGAAAATGCAGTATTGTATGCGTGGACTTTTTTGTTTTTGGTGCAAATGTCTATTGTCTGCTGACATAATTCTATAAGCAAGTGCTACCCAACACACCTAAAATTCTGTAAGCAGGGGTAAAATATGTATGCATTTATAGATATAAGTTATATTATAGATGTATTTAGCTATAATGTAAGTACCCATAGACTTAAGGTAGCTGATGTCAATTTGATTGTTATGTTATGAATAGCAATACATGTATCCAATGTATTTACTTTTTTTTTTAATTGGTAAATTTGGTTTTGAGGTCAATTACTTTTATTATTTCACCCAAAACTGGCATGGAGCCAGTAGGGTCTGAGTACTCCCTTATCTTTTTTTCTTCATGTATTTTAATAAACAAACTTGGGTGATGGCAGCATGCAATTTTATATTATGATGGCTAAATGAAATAGTCATTAGGTGACTGTAATGTTCAACAACTATATTTAGAACATACATATACTCTCCATATACTGTATACATATAGGGGGTGGACAGAATTTTAGAAACAAGTATGGCAGAAGAACGAAATTGTTACCTAATATGGTGCTGGATCGTCTTTGGAAACCAAGACAGCCTAAATTCTTCTGGGAATTGACAATTATAAGTCTTACATGGTGGATAATAATAATAATAATAATAATTATTATTATTATTATTATATACAAGATTTATATGGCACCAACAGTTTGCTCAGTGCTTTACAATATAAAAGGAGACAATACATCAACAATACAGTTCAATATAAAAGGGTTAGGAGGGCCCTACTCCTTGGAACTTACAATCTAGGAGAGAGGGGCTGGTGGTACAAAAGTTAATAACTTTAGGGGATGAACTGATAGGAGAAATAAAAGATTTGGTTATTAGCTGAAAACAGGATAGGCTTCCCTGAAGAGATAGGTTTTCAGAGATTGCTTAAAAGTGGGCAGAGTAGGCGATAGTCAGATAGATTGGGGTAGTGAGTTTCAGAGGATGAGGGAGGCTCTGGAGAAGTCCTGGAGATGAGCATGGGAGGAGGAGCAAGGGAGGAAGAGAGCAGGAGGTCATGGGAGGAGCAGAGAGGACGGTTTGGGTGATATTTGGAAACAAGATTGGTGATGTAATTTGGGGCAGAGTTTTAAATGGTTTTATATGTTATTGTCAATGTTTTTTCATTTAATTCATTGGGCAATGGGAAGCCAGTGGAGGGATTGGCAGAGAAGGATGGTAGACATGGAACAGTTGGTAAGGTGAGTCTGGCAGCAGCATTCATGATAGACTGAAGAGAGGATAACCTGCGATTAGATAGGACATTGAGGAGGGAGTTACAATAGTCAAGGTGAGCGATAACAAAGAAGGTAATAAGTTGCTTAGTGGTTTCAATGGT